GCTTTTCTGAATAATGTTTTTCAGTGTACAAAATAAAAAACATAGGATTACAAAGGAAACCAATTATGTTGATAACATTTCCGTCATAATAAAAAATGTTTGTGATCTGGGAATACACGTGCTCCTTTTTCATGCATCTGTAGGCGGGACTAATAACTACTGTACTTCCAAAGGGTGAAGGATGCATGTGATTGATATTTCGAGATACCTGCGGTAATTCTACTATGACATGAAAATACCTGTGATTTCCATTGGTAACAAAACACAGGCACTGCTAACATTACTGTATGTTCGTAACTGAAGGGAAGGCTAAATTAAAGCTGAGGGTTAGTGAAAATAAAGAGGTCCGCTTTCCCCACCCAAGTTCATGTGCCTACTCTTCAGGCATCTGCAGACCCCGGGTTAAGAAGCTCTGGCTTAGACCAGCCAGGAAGTGCTGAGGAAGTGGCAGCTCCAGAAATGAAGCCCAGGAGAGTTGCCCTTCCAGCATTCGTTCTGTGCACCAGCTCTGTTAATGGGGTGGTTTTAGAACCCCAGGGAGGGGGGAAGGAGGTGAGCTCACTCCTGACGAATGGCCGTGGACACCTCCGTCCTCCTTCCTGCATCCCTTCAGCAAGGCTCCGGGTGCAGAACCAGCTCACGTCAGCATTTCTCTTTTGATTTGCACGTACAGGTGTGGACACACTGGGAGACCAGACAAATAGTGTAAGTTGTAAGTACCAGGCTTGGGAAGGAGGGAGAAAGGAAGTAGAAATTCTCCCAAAGGGAAACGGTAGTGAACTTGGGGAGGACTGACATCGGTGTCAATCCTACATTATTCAGAGCATCTCACCTGATTTGGAAATAGCATCAAGATGTTCAAAGAAACTTACTCGTCTTAGAGTTTATTTAGATAGATATAACATAGTGTCTTCCCAAACAGTTGCTGAAGAAATTTGGGTTTCTGAGGAAGGGATGGGGAGCTGTTGTGCAGCCAGGTTCTGTAGGAATGCAGTAGCCCCCCTTATTCCTGGTCTCCCTTGCAACAGTTTTACTTACCTCCGGTCAAATACGGTCCAGAAGCAGATAGCCTAATGCCATGTCACAGTGCCTGCATCACTCATGTCATTTCATTTTGTCACATAGGCATTTTATCATCGCACATCATTACAAAAAGAAGAGTACAGTATAGTAAGCTATTTTGAGAGAGACCACATTCACGTAACTTTTATTACAGTACAATTTTTAATACAGTAATAATTGTTCTATTTTATTATTAGTTATTAATCTCTTACTGTGCCTAATTTATAAATTAATCTTTATCATAGGTATGTATGTGTAGGGGAAAACATGGTATATAGAGGGTTTGGTATTATCTGAGGTTTCGGGCATCCATCGGGGGTCTTGGAATGTAGCCCCCACGGATAAGGAGGGACTGCTGTACTTCCAAAATATAAGCATTTCTGGAAATCTTAAATTCTGTATTTGTAATTTTATTGAATGCTGATGTAATTTGGCTTATCTTTGCGGTCCAACACATGATAGATTCTCCTTAGGAGATGTTAGTGTGTATGCGTGTATGTGTGTGATGTATAAAATATTAAATCTAGTATATCGATTATATTCAACTGTTTTTATTTGTCTTGGATTTGTCCAATTCTGAAAGAGGTATGCTGAAGTCTCCCATCCTAATTGTTATTTCAAGTTGGCCCTTCATCTGTAATTTGTGCTGTGCTGTTGGATGCATACGCTGTTAGGATTGCTATTCTTTTTCACCTTGTGCTTTTTATCATTACATAATATCCATTCTGACCTCATCAACCTTAACTCTTGCTTTGTCTCCCATGACTCTCCTCACTCCCACTCTCCTTCTGCTTATGTGTGTTTGGGATGGGCCTCCAGCCCACGCCTCTTTATTCATTGCATCCTGTTAAGTGTTTCTCTGCTAAACATCCAGCTTGTTCTTTCTTTCTCATCCTTCTTTTAACTTTTCTTTTTTTACCCACTCTGACACTCTGACTTCCAATGGAAAAATGCAGTTCAGTGGAAAAATGCAGTTCATCTCATTTGGTATAATGACTGATAGACTTGATTTTCTTCCTTCCATATTACTTTTTCTTTATTAGTGATTTTACTCTGCATTTTCCGCTTATTTTCTCTTAAGTTTGGCAGCTATGTTATTCTCTACTTTTCCTAAATTATTTCAGTCCCTCCTCCTTATTTCTCTGTGATTTGAAAATAAAATTCCAGTTATTTTTCTCACCAACACTCTAGCTCCCCCACCCTCCCTGAGATGAGGTTTTGGAGCTTTGGTTTCTCCCTTCTCCCTCTAGCCTGAGTGTGTGGGGGTGCTCACCCCGCTGTCCCCACAAACGCCCAACCTCTCGGTGTTGCTGGGATAGTGGATAGTGCTCTCACGCTAGCAAACAATGAGATTTCCCCCTTCATCATCTCCTTTTTACTTGGAAAATCTTTAGCACTTACTTCACATCCCCACTCCGTCTATGTAAACACACACACAGCTAGATATAGATATATAACTGTATGTCTTTAGTTATATATATATATATAAATCAATATAATAGAAAGAGATATATGTAGAGAGAGGGTAAATGTAGAGTTTCTATTCATTTAAAAATTTATTTATGGCACAACGCTGGTTGCCTGTTGTCTTCCCCCTTTGCCTGGCTGAAGTCTCCCTTCTGATGCATTTTCTATGTAATGTTCTTCTGTGGGATATTTGGGTGAAATTCTCTCTGAACCCTTGCATTTCCTTGATAACATTTTTTTCAGCCTGGGGCATAGCAATCCTGGTGTACAGGATTCTTGGGGTTAAGTCCTTTTTTCAGTTGCCTGAAGGGGTTACCCCACTATCCTTTGGTTTCTGGGGTTGCAGATGAGAAGACTGGAAGCCATTTTTATTCTTCTGGGGTGTGTAACTTGTTCTGGGAGGTTCCAGAATCTTTTTATTACCCTTTGGAGATCTGGCTCTTTTCAGAATGGCCAGATGCATGAGTATTTCCACATTGATCTCTCCTGGAATTCAGGACACCCCTCTTGTCCAAAAACATGGGCCTTTCTTCCATTATTTGTTTAATTATTTCCTCTTCTGCATCTGTTCCTTTTTCTCTATCTGGGAGTCTGGGGAGTCACACCTCATAGGGCCTGTGTTTGTTCTTCAAATCTCTCTTTTCTCTTCTGTTTTCCCAATCTTTCATTCCATTCATGAGTTCCTCTATGCTGTCTGTCTCTGCTCTGCACTTTGAAATTGGTTTTCTAATGGATCTTTCCGAAAACTATTGGTTTGCTGTATTGACCACCAATCCTTCAATTCATTTACTGAACTTTAAAATGTTTTTAGTTCAATAAGCATATCTTTAGACCGGATTTTGCACGTGTGTGCCATCTTCATAAGTGGTCTTTTATGTTCTGTTCAAATGAATGCCTTCCACGCAAGTGCTGTCAATTTCCTTTGCTGCTCCCAGGCCACGTTATTTCACATACTGCGCTCATTGCCCTCAGCTGTGGCAGGGCGGCGGCCGGGGGGGGCGGGTGTCTGTGTGTGTGGTCCCGTCGGTGATGGAGCAGTGATGTGGGGCAGGCGGGCCACTGCTTCCCCAGGCTCCTGTTGCCCTCTCACCCTGGCCCACCTGTTCTACTCCTCTGGGCTTATTCTCAGGGTAGGGAGTCCTTCCTGTGCAGGAGGAGAAATAAGGGATGGGAATCTACGGTTCTCGTGGGATAAGCCCTTCCGGGGATCCAGAGCTGCCCTGCATGTGCTCTAGGGCTCTTCAGCCTCTTTTTGGAGCCCCTGCTCCACTGCCCAGTCGTCCCTGTCTCAGACCCCACCTGCCCCAGCCGGTTGTGAGCCCCACCAGCCTCTGGGCTCAGAAGAGGCGGGCGGATTGGATTCGGGACGGAGAAAGCATGAAAGGCATTTAGGGTAGCCTTTCTAGAATTCATCTCCAAACTCTGATGACTTTATAAAAGTGAATCACAATCATTGTAAGAGGGGGAGAAAACAGCACAGAATGGTACAAAGTAGAAAGTGAAAGGATCTCCTAGTTTCTTTCCATTCTTCCAGGGTGGCCACTGTTAATAGCTTGCCAGGTCCTTCACATAGGCTCTATTTCCTTACATACTTATTTCTTAAAAAGTACAAATGGGGTCACACTATATGTACCGTTGGGCGGTTGGTTAGTTTTTTTTCCCCTCAGTGTGTTAAGGACTTTTTTTTTCCCCCCATATAGACTTGCCACATTTTTTAAATGACTGTATGGCTTTCAACTGTGAAAATGACAAAACATGCTTAACAAATGGTTGTTATACACAGTTTTCTCTATTATGAACAGTGATGCCCCTGTCTTCAGCTTTCAATGGTGGATTTTACTCTATTGGTATTTGTAATTCTCTGTTGTTTTATCAACCTTTTGGCCTTTTTTCTTCAGGTTTCATATCTTTGTGGGAATGATCTTCCTTCCTTGAAGATGATACCAATACAAAGAACTTAAACTTTTATGGTTTCAGCTTTCACATGTAAATCTTTGATCTGAAATTTATTTTGATGTAAGAAGTGGTTGGGGTGCCTGGTTAGCTGTTGGTAGAGCATGCGACTCTTGATCTTGGGGTCGTGAGTTTGAGCCCTACATTGGATGTAGAGCTCACTAAAAAAGAAAAAAAGAAAGGAAGTGGAGAAGGGCTTCAGCTTAACTTGTTGAATGTTTTTTCAATATGGCTACTTATTTAATCCAACATCTCAGTTAGAGTCCATCTTTTACTGCTGATCTGACATGACACCTTCATCATAGATTAAATTGCCACATGGCTTAATCTTTTGTTGAATGATTTAAGGTTTGTCCGAGGGAGAGTCTCGCACCTGGGCATATTGGGAGCCTGACTCCTGAGTGAAGGATACTGACACCCAGGAGAATTTCCAAGAGAGTGAAACTGGAGCTTTCCCTCCTGCCTCTGCTTGGCTTCCCCTTCCATGCTCACCTGCCTTTCTGTTACTGGTGTTACAGATATCTGAGAAGTATGGGCTGCCTGTGGAGAAGATCACAAAGCTTTACAAGAAAAGCAAAAAAGGGTAAGAAAGAAACTTTAACTGACTTCGAAATCAGATCAGTCTACATGGTGCCTTTAACAAAAAAGATGGTGCCTACCTTTTGTTAGTTCTGTTGTCCACCTTTTATAGAAATTGTGTGTCATCCTTACAAAGGATTGCTGAGCCGCTTGCAAATTGAAGGCATTTTGAAGATCTTAGTAAGAGAGGGAGGGAAGGAGACAGTGCATTGTCACGATGCTGGCTGAGACGTCCCATTCCAAGGACAGGATGAGCCGGTGGAATATAAGGGTCCAGAAGTGGTGAGGACACTGGGGAGAGAGGGGCAAAGTCACCCCTCTGCAGAGAACTGGGTTTATAAAGAATCACATGCTGCTCTTGGGATTGGTTTCAGGATGACACAGTAAGAACAGGAAGCGTTCAGGGTGAAGAGAATTTTTCTGAGGGAATTATTAACCAAATGATCTAAATGATCATTGGACCTGCTTGTTCTCAGTGTTAAGAACAATACCTCGGGCACCTGGGTGGCTCAGTTGGTTAAGCGACTGCCTTCGGCTCAGGTCATGATCCTGGAGTCCCGGGATCGAGTCCCGCATCGGGCTCCCTGCTCAGTG